CAACCTACGCCACCAACAAAAGTCCGACCCAGCTAACCACCGCAACTACAACTTCCATTGCAACGACGTTCCCAGGTTGCATTACTGGAGCGCCTGCTGCCAAGATTACTAACGTCCTACAATAACCCCAGCGCCTATACCACTATGTTCCGCCGCATAGAGAATACCCTGGAGCCAGACCCGTCTTTCCCAGCAAATGTCAAGGAACTCGGCTTCTTCATCAACAGCTCAGGTGATATCCGCATGATCAACGCGCCTGAAAAGCCCTACGTCTACCACGCCACAAATAATGACCGCGTCAATGAGGTGCGCCGTGAAGCCATGCAGAGCAAGTTCCAACTCTCACTGAGGCGACTCCAGCTAATTTACCAAAGCTTGTCAACGCAAGGAAGTAGAGCAGCGTCTGTCTTACCTTGGTCTCAATTGTATCCACCTTCCCGACTTCGCCATGACCAAGCCCAACGGCCCGCATGTACCTATCCTTGCGCCGCTACCCGAGGTTCTCAAGACGCGTAAGCGCATCATCATGCTGGTCAATGACACCATGCAGGACCTGGGCATCCTCGCATATCGGCAGCTGCAGCGAGAACTTGGTGTTAACGGTGGTTCGGTTGTGAACTTTGTCAAAGAGATGATCAAACGCTCGTCTGCTGACAACGATGCCGAAAAGGACGCAAGCATCTTCAGAGACGGTTATGTGCTCGAAGACAAGGCTACTACCCCCGCCTTGATCGTATTGAATACAGGCCAGTTGCTTTACTCACACAAGTACGATCGGGCCATGACTTTGCGTAGCTGGTCTGCCATGCCACGCAAGTCAGTCGCTCACGACATGATTCGCATTCACGACGAGGAAAACCGTGTTCCAGGCCATAGAGATGCAAAGGATCATGTCACGACGGTCTTCGACCAAGTCATCTGCAATCCTGATCGTGTATCGGCCGATGCAGAAGTCTATGTCATCGCCATTGAGGATGGAACTGAGAGTGTTTTCAAGCTGCTCACCGACAACTGTAAGTACAACAAGTTCGTTTTCTATGATTCGGTACCCCAAGTCTCACAGCCTGCCCTCAAGGTATATATTGTTGCTGTCCCTTCAGAGTCGCAACGTCAGCCGCAATGTAGACCTTCATGGTACTGTTACATTGACTGGACATGGCGCGCCAAAACTCGGACATTCTGAACACAACAATACTGGGGACATCTGAAAGACAGAAGCTAACAAGCTATTGTAGTCGACAAGTACGGCACCCGTATCACCGCCATGGCATTGATCCATTCCCTGGTTGACGATTCGCAAGTCAAGGACCGACGAGTCCGCGCCTTCCTCCATCAGCGCGCCCGCCAGTGGAGATTCAGCGACCTAACATCAGACCCCCAGCACTGTACAGATCTACCCAACTCCTACGACCGACAGGCTGACCAATGTCCTTCTAAAGACACTCCATCCATCATGCAGTCAAACAAGCACATATCCTGGCACGAATCCATCTCCACAGGTGCCATTCCAACCCTAACAAAAGCCCTCGATCGTCTCGCCGTTAGCATCATCCCCTCCGCCCACAGCACCACCAGAAAAGAAGAAAATGAGGAAAAGATTGCAGAATGGTCCTCCGGTCAAGCAGTCATTTGCCCCACCTTCGCCGGCGGCAACAACTCGGTCGGCGAATGCATCTTCACATATCCCCCCGTCCAACACGCCATCCTCTCCTTCTTCCAAGACGTCGCCCAAGACCCACTCCATTACCGCAACCCACCCGGCCTCAAAGCCTACACCGTAGCTCCACAACCCAGTCCTGATCATCCCCTTGTGCTTTCCCCTATTAACAACAACAACGACGACAACAGCGGTGATGACGACGACACAGGAGTAAATTTCGGCGCCCCAACCTTACAGATGACTCCCGAACAAGCTGAGCTAGAGGAAGCGCGTGAACGACTCGCCGAACTACGCGTAGCATTCACTGCGTGTCCAGACGGAATCTCAGAATTAGTTCAAGGTCGCACGAAGCTAGGGAAGAAGATCAAGGTCATGGAGACTCGGGTTGAGGATCTAGAACACAAGACTAGTAAGGCGCTGCTACTGCTAGGTGGTGGTAGTGGCAGTGCTGGTGACCATGGTGGCTTGATTGCCCCTGGAGGGGAAAGGGAAGAGAAGGACCAGAAGAAGGGCGGTAATTGGAAGATGCAGGTTGAAGGGCCAAAGGTGCCATTCGCGGGGACAATGGTGGATAGCGAGTTGTTGAAGGCGGCGGGATTGGTCGAGAGTGCGGAGGAGGGGTTGGGCTTGAGTGCTGGTGCTGGTGCTGTTCAAGATCAGCATGCTAGGGGTGGACATGAAGATGAAGAAAAGGCCTTTGTCTGAACGGTGGCATTGGGGACGGTACATTGACGGAGGTGAAGGAAAAGGGTCAACAGTCCTAACAGAAGACTACAAGCGCCTCTTTTCAGTTTCGATCCTTCTTCCTTCCCACACAAACACACACGTTTACGAACAAAAGGAACTCGCGTCTCAATCATGGAATGAAAAATCTTCACAGATATTTCCGTCATTCCCTCTAAATCACCCATCAAGATCGATCAAAGCAATCCACTCACCTTCCTCAATCGAAATTCCTGATAGGAAAGAGAAAAAAAAACCTCATAACAAGCATAATCTTACAGAACACCCCTATCCCCCCATCCCACCATTCCCCTCCGCACTTTACAACACGCTACCCACCAATCTCCAGGCCTTTCCCAAATGCGAAACCCACAACAAAAACAACAACAACAGCCATATCAATCCCTCTTATCGTTATCCTCTGGCCTAGGCTCCGTACTCAACTGATTCCCATTATAAAACTGCTGCGGCTCTCTCGCACGCTGATCAGCCAGCGTCCTCACTCTCATGGTAGTTCCAGTGCCGGTGCCGGCAGAAGGCGGTTGCGGTTGCGGGTGCAGTTGATCGAGGACAGGATCATGCGTAGGTTCCTGAGTAGTAGGTCTACTGCCCACTGTTCTCCCACCACCAGCACCACTACTACTACCAGCACCACCACCCTCTTGTTGCGCCCCAAAGCCCATGACAGAACCAATCGTACTCCCCACCAACCCCACCGTACTCGACAAGAGACCAAACGCCCCACCCACAATCCCCGTCGCAGCCCCCGTTATCCCACCACCACCACCGCCAGAATACGCATCCGTATACCCTTTAACAGGAACCAGCACCAACGTCGCACTAGGCGCTAAATCAATCTCACCCAGCTCGACACTCTCGTCGCCAGCCGAGAGCTCGCGACTCGGCGCTGGAGCGAGGATATGGCGGAAAAAGTACGGGGGCAGTTTATTATTATTATGACCACCACCACCACCGCTGATATTCTCATCGTCTTGAGCCATTTTGCTAAATTCGGCGTCGATCCAAGAGCGGACGGTGGATTGTAGCGTAGCGGTGCGGGGGAATGTGGAGCGGATGGTACGGCCATCGAAGAGGCGGACGTTGAGGGCGACGGTTGCCGAATTCGAGCCTCGAGATGACGAGGATTTTATTGCTGTGGCTGTAGCTGGCGGCGACGACGGCGTTGACGTTGTATGAGAGGTTTGTTGTGTCGCGTTTCTGTTCTTTTCCTTCTCGCGCTCTGCTTTGCGTAACGAGGCTTCTACTTTGCGCGCTGCTTTGTCGGCTTCGATTCGTGCTTTGATTCGGGCGAGTTCTTCGGCGTCTTCTCTCTTCTTCTTTCGTAGCGCGTCGCGGGCTTCCTGTTGCGCTTTGCTCGCGGATGCAGATGGAGCTGTGGGGTTCGGTTCTGGAGCTCTTTGCTTGCCTTTTGCTTTGGTCGACGACGGTGTGGGGGCTGGTACTGGTGCAGAGGGTGTGGGTATCGAGGGTTCGGATGGACCATAAAGATCGTCCTCCGCTTCTGCATTTATTGGGTTATCGCTCGGTTCTGGTGTGCTTGCGTGTGGTAGTGAGGACGGTGCCGCGCTGGAGCCTGGTATCGGATTCGCTCCCAGTACCCGTCTTATCGAATTGATGAAGTCTTCCTTTGTCGCATCGCTCTTAAGTTGGACTTGTAGCTGTCCACTCTGGATGACGACGAAAGTTGGCACACTGGAAATGTCGGAGAAGGCAGCCAGAAAGCCTGCTTCGGTGGAGCCAGCCTCAAGTCGCAGGACGACGGCTTTTTGGGCGAGCAGATTCGATAGCTACATGTTGAATCTTAGCGCATGCCTCGGGCGGGATTCCAAAGAGCTGCGTACCCATCCACTCTTCAGCCACTCTTCTTCCCACTCGTTGCTCGTTGCACCGTCATCTATACAGTTTGTCAGTCGTGTCTCTCTCCACATTCCGACGGAGCACCTCGACGTACCTCGTACAAAGCAGGCAACAAGCTTCTGTTCCTGGATTGCAAGCGTAATTCCGCTCTGCAAGGTGCCTTGGTGGAACATGGCTGTGGGTGGTTGTGCAGGGTGGGTGGGCCGAGTGGTGATTGTTCGCGGGGTGAAGCTTGGGGACGCGTTGGAGCTAGGATGGTGCCTGAAGCTCCATCTCCGCACTACCGCGGGGAATTAATCTACTTCTGCGGGTAGCACCCGAGGCCACATGGGGCACGAGCATCATGGTCAGCTCCCGTTCACGTTGGATGCGCGCTGGGTGTGAGCCTGGGAAAGGGAAAAGATGCAATAAACAGTTCTATCGGTAATGCTAATCCTGTGATTCCTCCACGCCGAAGAAGAGTAATGTCGCAATAAACCAATGCTAGACTCGCCCCATATCCAACCGCACCAAGCCAGAAGATACTGCAGAGCATATGCTATTTCATGTAAATGGTGCGTATGCTGTATGCATCTTCTGCTCGCCTGTGACCTGGGAAGAAGCCACATTCATTCCGCCATTCGTGCTGGCTTCCCATTGATGCCGTCCTCATACCATGTCCCGGAGTAACTCGCATATTCAAGCTTTTGGTCCTTCCTCGATTACACCAAAACTTTGTCTCATATTCAGTCCTCTCTGCTTATAGGATAGTGCACTTCTTCTTGTTCTTCGTCGCCGACTGCTGAGGACGGGGGCTCAGGACAGCGCTGGGTAGTGTTAGCGCAGACATACAATGGGGCTTCTCTCGCCACGTACCGAATCGCTTCATCAAAGACACTCTTCAGGTTGCGCTGTGTGAGCGCAGAGCACTCTAGGTACTTTTGTGCCTTGATCTCCTTTGCGACCATGACGGCCTGCTCGTATTGGATGGGCGCCATCTTCTTCTGCCTCAACGACTCCTTGGTCGCCTCGTCGTCCCTCAGATCGAGTTTTGTGCCGACGAGGATGATGGGCACGCCGGGCGCGTGGTGATCTATCTCGGGGTACCACTGGTCTCGGGTCAGCGCGTGCCAAACACGCTTCCGTGGCTTGTCTTACCTTTGCTTTGACGTTGTCAAACGACGGGGGGCTGACAATGGAGAAGCAGATGAGGAACACGTCCGTCTGGGGGTATGAGAGCGGCCGCAGTCGGTCGTAGTCCTCTTGTCCGGCAGTATCCCACAGTCCCAAGCTTATTGGCTTTCCGTCTACCATGACATTTGCGGAGTAGTTGTCGAAGCTGGGCCTGTTAGCTCAAGCTGGGGGGGACGCGAAGAGGGAAGGGAGACGCACACGGTAGGGATGTACTCTCCCGGGAAGGCGTTTGTCGTGTACGAGATGAGCAGACATGTCTGCGAGGTTAGCAGGTACGGACGCGGCCGTGGGAACGCGGTGTCTTACTTTGCCTACAGCACCGTCGCCAGTCACGACGCACTGGTGGACGGGTTAGCTTCAAAGTCGAGACGAGAGGACTCAGTCGCAGTCGCGCACCTTTAGGGATTGGGTCGCAGGAGCAGCCATGGTGCGATGTGTGTCGTCGGATTAGGGTGGCTTTGGGGGACCCTGTTCGGCTTCAGGATGGGGCTTCGGGGCAGCGTGAAGCGATTCGCCGAATGTTGAGACCCTGCACGGTGATGGAGTCAGACGCAGAACAGAATGCAGTGAGGTGGCGCTGGCGAGGTGAAGGACGCACCGTGGAGACTGCTCAACAACTTCCGGGTAGCTTCTGTGAAGGCGCGGGAGCTATCTGCAGCGTAGGGGGGCGTTTTATCGCTTGGCAGGCGGCGGGTCAAGAAGCGAGCTCGAAAGTTGGATGATATGCAGCATGCGCGAGTCGACACAGCGCGGGCCACTGGGTCTGGCGGGGTCTGAGTCGCGGATTTTAGATGAGTGCAGCGTGGGTGAGGTCGTCGAGATGATGATGATGATGGTGATGGGAAGAGACAGACATCCGTCAGTCAAGTAGCTTCGCTAGCCATCTGCCAGCAGGCGCGTACCGTCTTGAAACCAATTTGCAACACGCTTCTACCACGCCTGATAGGTACGGTGCACGGGTGGAACCATTTGCTGCCGCTCTAACAAGCCTCAAGTCAAGAACCCTCGGGACCAACGATATCTGGTGCCTGTCCGTGTCACGTCGCATAGCCCGGCGCCCCTCTGCGAATCGCGTCTGTCCAGACAGACACTGTAAATGTTTGGCAACCGCGTCTATCGTGCCGTCGCATCATGCAGACGACTAATGATTATTCGCTGCCTTCTAGCGTCGTGATTCGCCTGTAGCTGCATAATTCTGCTCGCCAGTGAGACCGTGCGGCCATGTTATTAGCCGTGCTAACTCCAACAACACGTGAATCCTACTTGATTACTTGATTAACTACACGCTAAATCGGGTATCTTTGTCGCTCTCTTCCAACGTCTTTCGTACCATCAATAGAAAAGGAACAGTCCGTCGCCACCTTGCTTATCTTCCCCAACAAGTTCCTTCCTCAAAAGTAGCTTGATCACAGCCTCGTGCAAGTCTTTCATGTCGAGAATCCCGCGTTTCTTCTGGTCAATGTAGGAAACGTCAATCACGACTCGTTTCAAGTTTGCCGTTGACAGCGCTCCGTCTTCGAGAAGTGCCATCAACCGATCGGGTGTGCCAACTCCATAATCGATTCTGCATCGCAATCAGCATTAACAAGCAGGACCCAAGGCGCACAACTCACTTGGTTTTCTTCAAATGCGCTACCTGATCTGGAAGCTTTAGATGCTTCGCAAACAATTTGGCGACGTTGGGGTTCTTGATACCCTGTTTAGGCAGACCAGACTTGAGGGATCGGCACACATCTGCAGCTCGGATCCCAGAAACGGTGACCACGAGCGTGTGCGGAGCTCCGGGTGGCTTGGTTGGTGTCGGCTCCAATGTACTTGACTGCTTGTTGAGAAAAGCAGATAGATTGTCCGTAGTTCGTGGCTCGGTCCAGCTGGTACCATCTTGCACGGTCCGAGCTATTTGACGTCAGCATTTGCAACACGTCTAGGACAAGCTCAGGCTTACCAGATATGAATTTGTCTTCGAGCTCCACACTGCTCAACTCCTTGCCGTAAAGTCGTGTTCGCGCGTTGACATAGTCGGCAAGAAGCTGACCATCCATGCGCTCAAAAGAGTGATTGACCCCCAACGTCTGATCCAAATCATCTTCGTCAATCTCCTTCGCCTTCTGCTTCTTCTTCTCTTTCCGCTTCGCCTTCTTGGCTGCCTTCTTGCTGTCCTTGCTTGCTTCAGGCTCGGCTTCTCTTTTCCTTTTCTTCGACGAAGCGTCAACGTCAAACTGAGCCTCAATCAGGGGCACGCCTCCTTCTGAATCAGAGTCCGACATGGTGTGACTAGTGTTTTGTGTGAAGGAGAAAGGGCCACATGAGTTCGCGACAAAAAAAGTAGCAGAAAGTTGGAGGTTATCGATAAGCGCTAGCTTAGCTGATTCGCGTTAGTCTGGCTGCATGCTGGGGAAGTTCGCGTCCAGCGACGCGTTTCCCTGACGTCTATCAACACATCCACTGCGCTCTTCGGATGTGTATCTCGTAATGGCCGAGTCTGCGCGCAAAAGGCAGCGTCTCCCCCCAGAGCGTGACCTGCAGCGAACACCCACCAACAATGCGTCTCTCCAACCCACAACCCCGTTCCGCCGCGCCATAAGTTCGGGCCCCACTCCAGGAAGCAGAAGGACGCCAATTGCTCGCACACCAGGAACGGGCGTGACTCCTCGGGGCGGTCCAGCAACCCGTCCTCTGCCGTCGCGAAGGATTGCGCCAACTACCCCTCATGCGATAAGAGCGCTGAGAGAGCGAGCCAATGCGGCGAGGACACCAGGAAACAACCGCAGACGAAGCGGGCGCATACAACGGGAGACCCCGCGGGATATACTGCGCGATCTTAGCAGAGGTATTGTTCTTGATGATGCTATATCTGATATCGCTAACTGTTCATGCAGCGCTTGCTCGTGATACTCGTCCAGTCGAACCCTCTCCACAGGCCCTGCCTCAGCGGACACGCCATTCAGCCCTCGATCTTCCAGACGTTGAGGATGGTCCAAACATGCCCGCGCCCCGGCTTTCCATGCCCCTCGAGAACATGTATGACGACGACGATAGTTTCCACAGTGCCCCGCCGCGGCAGTCTCTACTACCTGACCTACCGGACGATGTGGATGGCGGGACTGTACAATCGCTCGAGTTTGGAAGACGAGCAATCAGCGAGGATCCACGGTTCATGTTTGGGGGAAGGCAGAGCGAGCGGTTTGGGGATCTGAGCGAACTAGGGGCGGTGGAAGAGGAGTTCGAGGTCGACGGTACCTTCATCAACAGACGTGCAGATGGGCTCTTCGACCCCGCCATCGACGACGCCCTGGACGGAGACGAAACAACAATACAAGCATTGACCGGTCGAAGAGACGGACGGGGAAGCGACGTAAATTTGGGCGTGTTTGGCGACGGAGAGGATGACACAGAAGAGCCTACTTTCCGCTTCATGATTCCTGAGCGTATGCGCGTACCAGCTCAAGAAGGCGCACATACAATACAGGATGAGCAGGACGAGGACGAGCAAGAATTAGATGGAGAACCTCTGGGGCTGCCGGCTGACTACGACTCACTCAGCGGCGACGACCAGGACGAGGTCACCGCTGCTCTGAACGGCGAAGATCCGACAGAAACCAATGGCATGCTAGGCTGGGAATCAGATCCGCCTGCAGATGACGACGCCGAACTAGCCGCCTATCGAGAAGAAGCATCAGCCATCGATCGAAGTCTGCAGACCAAGTCACCCGAGCGAGCGGCTGCTGTTGAGCTGAAGGGTGTTCGCAAACCCAAGGAATACATGGTTTCTGAACACGGCATTGGCTTCCCCTCGTTTCCAGCCGCGCCTGTCAAGAAGCTCGCTTTGAGCTTCATGAAGTCGCAGGGAGGCAAGGCTCAGCTTAACAAGGAGACACTTGATGCGCTTGTGCACACGACCAACGACTTCTTTGCGCAGATCAGCATGGATCTCGCAGCGTATGCGCAGCATGGTGGGCGAAAGATGATTGAAGAAAGCGACGTCATCGCGCTCATGAAGAGGTATGTTACACTACACTTCTATACATAACATGCAGATCCATAACATGCATGTTTGGTCGGTCCACTGACTTTTAGACAGGACCCGTAAGACCACCAATAATAGTACATCTTTTTCTCTGGCGCAGAAGATGCTTCCCAGAGAGCTACTTCAGCAGCTGCGTATGGAGCCTCCAGTGAAGCTGAAGGGACAAAAACGGAAACGCCTAAATCCTATCCGTGAGGAAGTTGAAGATGACGACTGAAGAGGCACGACAATGTCTCATGACCAATCGACACTGTGTCGTACCCGCCGTTGGGTCCCCGACATTGGCTTCTTGACAACCATCCAGAACATGACCGAGGTTGCGAAACTGAGCGCATACCTAGGCGGAGTTAGGTGATTGCTTGCAAGAAGAAAGCGAGACGGCGACACTTACCATGTGAAGATGTACTGCGTGTGGTTGTTCCGTAGGTTCACGGTGGGCGCTCTACCAATCGGTACGCCCTTGGGTTCACGTTCATAATTAGTGAGCAAATCAGGCGCTGTGTTATAGTTAGATACCCCCAATTGCATCAATCAAACAGGAAAGAGTACTTACTCATGGTCTCCTCAACCCATACAGCCTGACTCCCACTATACTGCGCCATCTCCTCGACACTAGGGAAAAACCACTTCCCCTTCTCCGGCTCATTCTTCGGCGTAAACATGTTTCCCTTGGGCGGTATCCTCAACAGCCCCTCAATTGTGACCTCGCCCTCAGGCAGCGCCCCATTCTTCTTGCGAAACCACTGCGGCGCAGCCTCCTTCTTAATCCACCCCCTACACGCCAATATCTTGTGCACATTGCCCCTCGCATCCCGCCGTTCCAGCGGCGTAACAACCGTATACCCCTCCTCGCCATTCAACATGCGCGGTCCAATCAACATCTCCTGATCATGTCTCAACACCCCCCTCGCATAGACGCGGCGATAATCAAAATCCTGAATCGCAGCCGGATCGATGCGTAGCGGGAGTTCCAAGGGCGGAAACGTCAATCTATCCTCGAAGCGCGCGACGAGTTCGGTTTTCCAGCCGAGGCGCTGCACCTGCCAGCACCCTAGTATGAAGGCTGTGATGGGGATGATGGCGAGGATAATGAGGCCCGGGCCGTGCTGTTTGCCTACGCGCGCCATCTTTGCCGGCCGGTCGAGGATCGAGACGAAATTCGGGTCTAGGCCGGGACCGCCGCCTACGCTGCGTTTTGGCGGCCCGCTGGGGAAGAGGATGCGTGTGCGCAGGCATTGTGGACGGGTGGTGGGTGATGATGGGCAGCGGCGAGCGGGCGTGGTGCGCAGGAACGACGACGTGGGTTGTGAGTAGTATCGCCGGAAAAGGTTCATGAACGGATTTGGTTTCGACATGGTGGGCGGGCTCGAGGACGGCGTTGGCGTCTTGTCCCTCTGCC